GCCTGTTCTGACTCAATGCATTTTGTGTGCTGCTGTGAGTTGGTCTGGGGCTGCCGTTCCGAGGCCTGAAGGTTTAGGGTTTAGGGTTTAGGGTTTAGGGTTTAGGGTTTAGGGTTTAGGGTTTGTGTTCAGGTAGGATCTTGAAGGACGATGACTCCATCAGCTCCCACGGCCTTAAGGACGGGCACATCATGCATTTGGTTAAGAGTGTTGCTGCTGGAGCTGCGAATGCGCAGCAGCAGCAGCAGCAGCAGCAACAGCAGCAGCAGCCGCAGCAGCAGCAGACTCCAGCTTCCACAGCTCCTGCCTCCACAGGCGCTCCAGGTGCGGCTTTACACGTGGATTGAGTGCTTATGGCTCAGATTAGGGTTTAAGGTCTAGCGCATGAGGGTTTTGTTCGAGGGTTTAGGGTTTAGGGTTTAGGGTTTAGGGCTGATGTTGAGGGTTTAGGGTTTGCGGCGCAGGCGCCACTCCTGGTGTAGGAGGAATGGACCCATTCATGCAAGCGATGCTTTCTGGAGGTACTTCATTAGAGTCTCGTATAGTCAGAGCTAGGGTTTAGGGTTTAGGGTTTAGGGTTTGGGGTTTAGGGTTTGGCGTTTAGGGTTGGGTTCAAGGGTTCAAGGCTTAGGGCCGAGGGCTTGTGGGGGGCGGCTGTCGCTTGCCGTTTGAGTGGCGCTGGGCTAGGGTTTAGGGTTTAGGGTTTAGGGTTTGTGGTTCAGGCCTGGGCGGGGGCATGGGGGCCCCCATGGGGGCCCCCATGGGGGGCCCCATGGGCCTGCCAATGGGGGGCCCCGAAATGATGCAAATGATGCAAAGTCCTTTTTTTCAACAAGCAATGGAGTCTCTGATGCAAAACCCTCAAATGTTTCGAAGCATTGTTGAGAGTGTTCCGGCGCTGCGCCCCATGCTCGTAAACCCTAAACCCTAAACCCTAAACCCTAGACCCTAAACCCTAGGCGTCGCGCAGGCCCAGCGCAGGCCCTGGCAAAGCACACGTGGGGAGGGTTTGAGGGTTTGGCGCTGAGGCGTTTGCATGCGAGGTGGTTTGGCCTTGAGCCAAAACAAAGGGCATTAGGGTTTAGGGTTTAGGGTTTAGGGTTTAGGGTTTAGGGTTTAGGGTTTGGCGGGGTTTTGCGCGCAGCCGATGATGCAGGGGATCTTGGACAACCCTGAGCGCATGCGCGCGATGTTTAACCCTCAGATGATGCAGGTACATTAGGGTTTAGGGTTTTCGGCTAGGGTTTGCCCTCCGGTGCCTAGGGTTTAGGGTTTAGGGTTTAGGGTTTGGGTGTGGCCTGCAGGCGACAATGCAAATGCACCAGGCTATGCAGCAAATGAGACAGCAGCAGGGGGCCCCTGCTGCTGCTGCTGAGGGGGGGGCCCCCACGGGGGGCCCCATGGGCCCCGCAGCATTTCTAGCAGCAATGCAGGGTACAGCTGGGGGCGATTCGGGGGCCCCCGGCGCTGCTGCTGCTGCTGCGGCTGCAGCCGGGGGGG